GGGGCTGGGCTCTTGGCTCAGTGATTAAGAGGCCATTTAAGATGCTCCCATCCCACACCACAGGGCTCCCCCATTCAGCTCCTGCCTCCAGGTCCTGCCTCCAGCTTCTGCACCTGTGGGACATCTCCCATCTTTGCCCTCCTCCACTTCTGGCTGTGGCAAGCATTTAGCGAGGGACCCAGTGGATAACTTTCTGCCTCTTGAGGAAGTCAGAAAATAAATTCCCTTTAGTACGTGACTTCGCAACATTTTCATCTGCACATCTATTTAGAAGCATAAAAAAAAAAAAAAACAGGAAGGTAATGTCCTAAGAACTGTATATGGCCTGGCCTTATCCAAAATAGTCATACCATAAGGACAGTCAATGAGAATTGTGGTTGAGACCATGTTCCCAGAGCTACAGGGTTAGCAAAAAAGACAGAAAACAAAAGAGGCCTGGAATCCAAGAACTGTGTGGTACAGTGTGAAAAGCTTCGTCTCTGGAACCAGGCAAAGCTGGAAACGCATGCAAGCCAGCTTGAGTGTCTGTTGCGATGGGAGCAGACGGCTTGGTTTTTTTTTCCAATTGTTTTACTTGTGAGATCACAGCCTACAGTGGGATCAGCAACTGACTGCTAATGGCCAAACCCTGCTGACTTGCAATGCAGCCACGTCTGCTGTCTGTGAACTGGAAATTATTGAACCCAGGCCTTGGCACGTGCTGTCTTCTTCATTCACTCATCATTCAAGCAAGAAAAAGACAAAAGTCTTGTTAGTGCCAAAGAAAATGCCCCTGCTGTTGCCAGACCCTGTCCATCAGTGACGCCTAGGCCATCTTAAGGGAAGCTCTGGTGGGGCAGACGTTGTAACACAGCTGATTAAGCTGCTGTGTGGCACGCACACGCCATCCCTCCTCGAAGTGCCTGGGTCTGGCACTTCCGGTTGATAGGAGGGGAAGTTCTTGGCCCCTGCCACACACAGGGGAGACCAGGAAGGAGTTCCTGGTTCCTGAAGTTGCCCTGGGCTGTGTAGGTCTCTAGGGAGTGAACCAATGGGTGGGAGACAAATCTCTCTCCCCTTTTCTCTCCTTCAAATACACTTTCTTTTTCCTTTCTAAAGAAGTAGTTCTTGTCTAAAGTACCTTACTTAGGAGATAGTAAGGACGCCCAGTCTGCTCTGTACCCCATGAGGGATGAGCAAGAGAAAAAGGAAATAGAACACAGGCACTGGTCACCTAGACTGGCAGAGAAGCCACATTTGACAGCGTTCTCTGGGGTTTGGAAAAATGCTTACTCTCAGGCGTGGCTGGTGGGAGCCCTGTTTTTACGACATGGAAATCTGGCAATATTTAGCAAAGTGCCATTTCAGCTTACTCTTTGATTTACTTGGAAATCCATCCCTGAGGTATTTGGCAAACTCACAGGTATGCACAATGCCATCGTTTCATTTATTTATTGGAATAGCAAATGGCTGGAAAGTGCCTAATATCCATCTTCAGGAGACTTGCTGAACGAACTGCATTGTAATCTAACCTCTAACCAGTGAAAACAAATGACTAGTGGTCCATTTCGCCTCTGTTTACAGCAGATACACCGAGGGCTAAGGGTGAGGGGACAGGCAGATAGCCTGATGGAATTTCTTGTAAACATTTTGACTGCAGGGACCAGGGCTGTGGCACCTGTGATATGCCATGTAGATGAGCCGCTTCAAGTCCTGCCTGCTCCACTTCCAATTCAGCTTCCTGCTAATGTGCCTGAGACAGCAGTGGCAGATGACCCATCTGACAGAACGTCATGGGGTTCTGGGCTGCTGGCTTCCATCCGGCCCACCCCTGGCTGTTGTGGATACGGGAAAGTAAGTCAGAAAGTGGAAGACAACCCTCTCTTTCTCTCTGTCTTTCCCTCTCTGCCTTTCAAGTAAATGTAGATAGCCTTTAGAAAAAAAAACTTCAAGTAGAAAACTGGACAATTCAATCAATGCTCTTTCTTTGTTTCTAAGTAGAGTTTTTACCAACCAAACGCTTTAGCAGCACGGTTCTGGTTTGAGTAAATAAAGCTACAATGAATGGTACACAAATCTACAATATGGCAAATGATATAGATGACTGAGTCATGACACGTGAGCTGTTGAAATGTGTTGCACGTTGAACTGAGGTGCAACCAAGATGGGACCTGCCTGGCCGTGAGGGATCCACAGCCTTCAGGAGACACCCTTAGGACCACAGATGCTGGTGTCAGAAACAAGGTACTGGCAGCCACGTGGGATTCCTGGATCTGTCCTGCCTTCCCATGGCCCCGGTTCACTGGAGGCTAGTCGTTGTTAGGCTCTGGGGGTGCCAGCTGGAGAAGACCCCGCCTGCATGACCAGGCTGACCCATCGGATCCGCACAGAGGGCTTCCATGCAGTGCCAGCCTTGTTTGCGAACAGTCGGGAGGAGAAGCCCTAGGACACAGACACAGTGGGAAACTCCAAGTGCTTAAGAATGCAAGCAACACGCTGCTCTTCCTGTGACCGTGACCTCTGAGCAGGGCTACAAGCAGACCTCGGGTGGCTGACAAGCGCAAGGCTCAACCCCAGAGGGCTAAACCGACAGCTAACACCCCAGACCACTGTGGAAGGCAGGAGGGGAACAACACAGGCAGAGCGATCAAAGTGGTGTTGAAAACAACAACAAAAAAAATCGTACCGATTGACTTGAATTTGGAGTCATTTAACGGTTATGTCTTCCAAAAATAAAATCAAATCCAAAGGAAAATTTACTGACTTTTAGGAAGACCCAGAAATAAGCTGATCAGATGTGAAACTTGGGATTTAACTTCACAGAAAGAAGAAAAACACTTCATGCTTAGTTTTCACTCTTTTGACTGTGTATCTTATGGAATATTAAGTTGGAATGAGTGAAAAGTTTCATTATTAGTAGTAATATTACCATGATTTTCATAAGAATGTGATGTCATAATGTAAAATGAAAGCAGAGGGCTTAGCGCAATAGCCTAGTGGCTAAAGTCCTTACCTTGCATACCTGGGATCCCATGTGGGCACCAGTTCTAATCCTGGCTGCCTTGCTTCCCATCCAGCTCCCTGCTTGTGGCCTGGGAAAGCAGCCGAGGACAGCCCAAAGCCTTGGGACCCTGCACCTGCATGGGAGACCTAGAAGAGGTTCCTGGCTTTGGATTGGCTCAGCTCCAGCCATTGTGGCTGCTTGGGGAGTGAACCAGCAGACAGAAGATGCTTCTCACTGTGTCTCCTTCTCGCTTTGGATCTGCATTTCCAGTAAAAATACAATTTAAAAAAATGAAACCAGAAAGGTGACTCAGCATTAAGCCACCGCTCTGACTCCCGCATTTTCATCTTCAGGTTAGCTGCCCCACTTGCGGTCCAGCTCCCTGCTCAGGCCGCCCTGGAAAGGCAGCGAGGTTGGCAGAGGTTCTTGGGCCCTTGGCATCCACTTCCAGCCTGGCTGGATCTCAGCTGGTGTCTGTCTGAGGAGCAGAGCAGAGGTGGAAGATCTCACTTCTTTCTGTCTCTCTGACTTTCAAATAAATAATTAGAAAAAAAAAAAAACCTTAAGAGCCAAGAACTTTAAAACAAACAAAAAGACATGAATATAACACTAGGAAAGTGACAAGCTTTGTAAGGTCACATTTTAAACTGGAAATACGTGAGTTCAGAACTTATTTTTTTCTCAAAATACATATGTACTTACTTAGTCTATTGAAAATCACATAAACTATGATGTCCCAGAACCTACTGCGCATGACGTGTAGGCTGTAGGAGCATGTTCGGACACTTTGGAGATGATCGGCGAATTTAAGTGTTGAGTGTTAGAACTTACCGTCATTTACATTAGAGATGATAACGTCCTAGGGATTCTATGCATATGCTCCCAAGGTAGGGATGCAATGTCACACTCTCTGAGAAGCCCCTTCACACGGTTCAACCAAAAGGAGACAAAGTAAATGCGGTCCCTTGGATGTGAATATTCCCTTTGCTATCCTTACTGCTTTGCGTATTTTTGATGCTGTTGTAATATGGAAGCAGAATCAAGAGCTAGATGATTCAGAAGATTTGAGCCTGGATAAGAGCTGCCCAGGTCGGCCTCGTGAGACCTGTGGATGCCATCGCTGAGGCCAGCTCCCCTACAGCCCCGAGAAATTCCCTCTGGGGCTCCCTGGGACACCCCGAGTCATGGTGCTGGCCTGAGCACAGAGTTATGTAGAGAAATCCATTCATCTCCGAACCAGCGAGCCACGGCCAGGCAAGTGCCATCCCAATGGGTGACGTGCCATCCTCCAGTGCCACTGGGGCAGTCATGCATTTTTTAAGCATTTGCCGTGCTCTAGGCAATGCATCAGCTCAATCAATATGCAGAAACAAGCATATTGCCAATATGATGGGAAAAGCTAATCAACATCGGCTTTTACGGTAAAATACAATTAGTTTTCTGTCCTAATGGTTGCACCTACATCTACAGTTTGATACCAGGAACTAAGTGTTTTAAGCTGTTGATTGCTCGGGTAGGTGAGTCGGAGCTAGTGTGTCCTTACCTCCACCTCGGCGAGGCTTTCATGCGTACACTTCATCTAATAGTACTATGATCCCAGCTTCTCCTTTCAAATTAAGATCTAATCCTTGTAAGATGTGGGAAGGTATCAACATATACCCTCTTGCACGCTAAAGCTGTAGGACTTTATATCACAGAGTGCGATGACACAGTGTGTGTGTGGGGGGTCAGCTCCATGTTCTGTCACCCTTACTCAGCTTTCATGTTGTGTCACAGTGCGAGAAGCACACTCCCCGTGGCTCCTTTTCTCCCTGACTTGCAGTCTGCACGCGGAAGGACTATTTCATCAAGCTCAACTTTACAAACAGCAATGCCCAGAAGGTGAGAGGACACCTTGCTTAAGGCCACCCAGGTCCTGATGCAGTGGTTGCCTCACGACTGATGGGCAATGGACCATTTACTTGGCATGATACGGACAGTAGAGCTGAGAGCTCCAGACATGCCAACCCTCGCTCACCTTTCAAAGCCAATCTGCCGGAATGTCTTTTCCCAAGTTGAGCCTGTAAGAGAAGGAGAAACATAATTAGTGTACACCAAACACACCAAGAGCTCCGTTCCGTTTTGCACATGCATGTTCAATGTTTGGTTTTACATGTCAGTGGAACGAGCTTGTGTTGCCTCACACGTACCACTTCCTACCTCCTGCCCCACCCAGCATTTTTATTTTTTAATTTATTTTGCTTCTAGTTGATGTTGAATAGTTATATATTTGTGGAATAGAGTGCGTGTGATGTTTTGATACATGTATATGCTGAGTAATGATCAAATGGGCACATCTGTCATCAACATTTATCATTTCCTTGTGGTAAGAAGTCTTCTAACTATTTTGAAACGTATAATGCAATATGACTAACTATGGCAGCCCATTGTTTCAGGTGACCGCTGAAATGTACTTTGGTCACTGACTTTGTACCTGCATCACTTCCACCCCCGCCCTCTGCTCGGTCTGGGGACCGCCATGTTGATTACATTTGATTTCACCAGGTCAGTACTCCCACAGAGGCAACAAATCACAAGTGAGATTACATGAAACCAACGAGCTTTTTACAATAAAGGAAACTGCTGTCAAGTGCACAAACAACAAAGAAAACGTTTCCAAAGTAAGCATTTGGTAAGGGCTTAATATTTGGAATATTTAAGGATCTTAAACAACCCAACAGCAAAAAACAATGACCTGTATTGCTCCTACGTGGGGCAAAGACCTGACTAGTTATTTCTCAAGAGAAGGTGTTCTTTCTAGAGAAGAGAAGGTTGAATAGAATTCTACATTTACTAAGGAGTCAGCTCAGAGTCATTTGCATGAAAACTCCTGTGTTAAAAATATAAGGCAGCAGGATATTATATGCTGTGTATCCTAAAATTCAAAGTTTCATGTTGTATACTTGGACATCAAGAAGACATTATGTGTCTCACCCAAACAGTGATGAAGTCCACCTACCCCCACTCTGAAAAACTGATTTGGAAGACACACACACACACACACACACACACACACACACACGTTCCTCTAACAGTTGGGGCTGCTCCAAGCAACACCAAGAGTCCTCTCTGTTCGGGTCTCTCACTTGGTTGACAGGGCCCCAAGCACATGAGCCAGCACCTGCTGCCTCCTGCATAAACAGGAAACTGGATTGGAAGAGGAAATCAGGCCTGGGACTCAGGGACCCCAGTATAAGACTTGGTCCTTGGGCCCGGTGTGGTGGCCTAGCAACTAAAGTCCTCGCCTTGAACCTTGCCGGGATCCCATACGGGTGCTGCTTCTAATCCCGGCAGCTCCACTTCCCATCCAGCTCCCTGCTTGTGGCCTGGGAAAGCAGTCGAGGATGGCCCAAAGCTTTGGGACCCTGCACCCATGTGGGAGATCCGGAAGAGGTTCCTGGATCCTGGCTTCAGATCGGCATAGCATCAGCTATTGAGCTCACTTGGGGAGTGAATCATTCGACAGAAGATCTTCCTCTCTGTCTCTCCTCCTCTCTGCATATCTGACTTTCCAATAAATAAGTAAATCTTTACAAAAAAAAAAAAGACTTGGTCCTCCCCCATGGCTTTTTAAAATCTAAACATTTTACATCAGAGGAATATAAAAATGTTCCTCTTTTTAAAAGCTAAGCATTTAAAATAAGAAGAATGCAAACACTCAGTTGTGGTGGGCAAGAATGCATGCAGGGCAAATACTCTCTGCCTTGTAATTTTTGGAAAAGAGCTAGCTAAGTCCAAATTTATTTTCTGAATTTTGGAATATTTATATAGACTTCACCATGTGAACATCCAGGATTTTTGTATGAAAGATCCTCAACATATATATCTGATTTCCAGATAAAAAAAGAGTATTTAGCTGTAAAAAAAAAAAAAAAAACAAAGACTTTCTACAGTTTTCCACTGCAATAATTCTTCCTGTTATTCTACCTGAAGAGATTTTAAATTCATTATAAAGCACTTTAATTCAATTAATTAAAATTTAACTTAATTTGTTAAAACTTTTTTTTTTCATTTTTAATTTTTTGAGTATTTGCTCTGGGGAAAAGTGCTAGTTCTGTGAAAAACAACATTTCAACAGAAGTTCACAATTTAGAAAAGTAAAGTGCTTGTGAATTTGTGCTAAATCATGGTTTCTTTCTCTTTCACCGTTTTCTCGCTACTTCGTCAATAGCAGAATCCCCTGGACTTCAGCAACCGTTTCAAGCAAAGACGTGCTGTATACTCTGAGTTCACATCTTGGGTTGTGTATTCGCTCTGTGAAACTCACAGCAGCTAATTACTAGTAACATCACTTTCCTGTAAGCAAGAGGGGAGAATGGAGCCTTGGATCTTCTGGACCAGCTAAAAGGCTGCCTTGCTTCCTTTCCTAAAGTCACAGTAAACCCGAGTGTTGCTTGAATTTCTTAATAACTCCGCCTCCAGTGAACTCGCTTCAGCTGGGTGCTTCGTGCTGGCTAGCTGGCCAACACCAGCTCGGGTATGTGAGAGGAGCTTTGGAGAAAGGAAGGAGAGCATTGTGGCTGACAGCATTGGAAGTTCCCAGGCCAAGATTGGGTGGTCCCGTCGGTCTGGTCTGCAGTGAGTCCAAAGGAAGGCAATGGCAAGCGTGAGCAGGAGGATCACGTGGCCAGCCAGGAGGCAGACACAGGCCAAGCTGACTTCCATAAGCAACTTGCTCTCTTTTAAAATGTATATATATCTTTTAAAGATCTATTTCATTTTTTTTATTGCAAAATCAAATATACAGAGAGGAGAAGAGACAGAGAGGAGGATCTTCAATCTGTTGATACACTCCCCAAGCAGCCACAATGGCAGGAGCTGAGCCAATCCAAAGCCAGGAGCCAGGAACCTCTTCTGGGTCTCCCATGCAGGTGCAGGGTCCCAAGGCTTTGGGCTGTCCTCGGCTGCTTTCCCAGGCCACAAGCAGGGAGCTGGATGGGAAGCAAGGCAGCCAGGAATAGAACTGGTGCCCACATGGGATCCCAGGTATGCAAGGCGAGGACTTTAGCCACTAGGCTATTGTGATCGGCCCCAAGCAACCCTCTCTTGAGAGCTATTTTCCAAGGCAGACCTCTAACGCTTTGAGCACCCTCATTGAGGTCCCATCTCAACCTACTATAGCTTAATCAAGTCTCCACCCTTCCAATACCAATGGCTTAAAGCTTTGGAGATTAAATGTGTGCATGGCCTTGGGAGCAAAATCATATTGAAACCACAGCACATCTCTTTACTGCTGCCTAGGTGGCTGCACGATTTCCTGGGAAGGAAGTGTGTACATACGAGTTGGTGGCCCTGAGAAAGCATGTCCCAAGAGGGCACGGAGATGGTATTTCACAATGGAGTTTGAGTTTGTAGTCTCTGGTTACAATGGGAGTGTTTGAAATCATCTTTATACATAACAGAGGACTAACTTACAGACTGGAACCACACACAAATGCACAAAGCAGAGGCAAGCACATCTTGTTGGCTGATGTCACCTGCTGCTGAATCCCAGGCTGCTTTGCCGGGTAAGAGTTCGGGGACACAGACTGTGAGTCTCTACTTTAGGAATTCCTCTTGGTCCCTGACCTGGGGCAATGTCTCCCTTGGGAATGTCCTTTACCCTGTGAGTCATAGGCAGAACAATGCAGAAGCCCCACTGACACTGCTCCTGAAATCCTTGCAGTGAAGACATTGGCAGAGAAGAAAGAAGCTGTCAAGCTGAAGCCAGGATGGATGCCAGGGTTTGCTATTTCCAAGCCATGAAGCCTAGGGGATGCCGGAGCTCCTCAGGCGTTCCCCAGCCGTGGACAGGTGCACAGAGGCGAGGGCGGAGGTGCTTACAGACACAAAAATCTTTTACGTTTTCCTTCCATTCTGATGTTTCAGCAGAACTTCTTGACATGTTCCTAAATTGTAGGTGTTTCACTTAAAAAAAAAAGTTTCAACTCCCCAAGTGGCTGCAAAGGCCATAGCTTTGTCAAGCTAAAGCCAGGATCCAGGAGCCTCTTGCAGGTCTCCCATGTGGGTACAGGTTCCCAAGGCTTTGGGCCATCCTCAACTGCCTTCCCAGGGCACTAGCATGGAGCTGGATGGGAAGTAGAGCATCTGGGACACAAACCAGCACCCATATGGAATCCTGGGCTGCAAGAGGAGGATTTAGCCACTAGGCTCTTGTGCCAGGCCCTGTAGGTGCTTCATTTTTAAGAAAATTCCTTTCGGGCCTGGCTCGGTGGCCTAGCAGCTAAAGTCCTCACCTTGCATGCCTGGGATTGCATATGGATACAGGTTTGTATCCTGGCAGCTCCGCTCCCCATCCAGCTCCCTGCTTTTTGCTTGGGAAAGCAGTCGAGGACGGCCTAAAACTTTGGGACCCTGCACCCACATGGAAGACCCGCAAGAGGCTCTGGGATCCTGGCTTCAGCTCAGCTCATTTCCAGCCATTTTGGTAGCTTGGGGAGTGAATCAATGGACGGAAGATCTTCCTCTCTGTCTCTCCTTCTCTATGTATTTGACTGTCTAATAAAAATAAAATGAATCTTCAAAAAGTAAAGAAAGAAACCCTTTTCTTCATATTCAATGTATTATGAAGGACGAGTTTTAAAAGTAAATGATTCTGTCCCATTGTGCTGTCAGGATTCTTCGACCGGAAGTCTTAATAAGGAAACGGAATCCACCTTCCGGTGTCTGAGAAGCAGGAACTTCCTGATACAGGCAGGGCAAATTTCTGAAGCAAGACTTCCGGTGCTTGATGGAGTAAACCTCCGCGAGACTTTTCACCCAAGCACGGTAGCTACCGGAAGGCCTTCTTTCTGTCCCTGTAAGTCAAATTCATGAAGACCCGGACGACCTTCTGCATCTCAGACACAACAGTCTTTGCTGTGGACACTGTGTAACCATCTTAATATTCCAGGAATGAAATGGAATCTATTAAAATACGGTTTCTGTCTTCAGATCCCACATGCCCTGGGGTTGGGATTTTTATGTCTTTTTGTGAGCACTTACTCAGGAAGAAAGTGGAAACACAGTAAAACCAACAGAC